TGGGGAATTCTGGGAGTTGAAGTCCACACATCTTAAAATTCCCAAGGTTGAGAAACACTGAGTTCATCTGTTTCTTCCTTCCTTCCTTCCTTCCTTCCTTCCTTCCTTCCTTTAAAAAAAGCAATTATATCAGTTAGGATTTGGACTGAGAGGGAAGGACTGGCCCAAAGTCACCAGCAAGCCTGTGGTGGATTTGTCAATCCAACTCTGTTACTGATGGTTACACACAGTAGGAACAGGGAGGGAGAAGCCCTGCTGCAGCTTGGTGCCTGAATGTTGAGACTTCCCTGTCCCACCGACTTGCACCAGTGCTGTAGGAGCACCGTGCAAGCTTTCTTTGGCACGATGGAAAAGTCAGCCCCTGGCCACCAAGTTGATAGTGTGTAAACCAGAACTGCCTAAGATGGGAACCAACTCCCTCTCTACACGCTAGAGCAGCTTTTTTGGCAAATATAAAATGAAGTATGCTAGCCTCAGCCTAGAAAAGCTATCAGGGGGGTGGGAGTGGTGGAGGCGGGAGGAAGGGTAGAGCTCTTGTTTACTTTTGACATACAGCAACAGTGTGCATCTTGCCTAAATTCTGTTTTTCGTTTTCATGAACTTCCTTTTTTTTCCTTTTGAAAGTTGTCCTCAGTGCTGAAGCTATAAATGGTATTGCAAGGAAGGCACTTCAGATGTTTTTTTACGTTCTGATGTTGCAAGATTTTGAGATGTGTAGAATTGCTCATTAGCTAATCCCCAGGTTCTGTTCCCGCTCAGCCATTGAAACTCGGTGACTTTGGTTCAGTCATCCTCCCCCAACCCAAGAGCCAGTATGTGGCATAGCGTAGAGAGGAAGCTGCTGGGCTAGGAGCAGGGGGGCCCAGGTCCTTGTCCCCTCTAAGCTATGGAAGCTTTCTTGGGGACTTTGGGCCAGCCCCTCCCTCTCAGCCCAAGTGTGGGGTGGTGGTGAAGGTGGTTGTCAGGCCCAGCCCAAGAACGACAATAAGGCAGTCCAGCCCAGTATAGTTCCTTTAATAGCTTGCACCTAGTAGACAGAATCTTGCCAGACTAAATCTCACCAGACTATCCAACCTAAAGCAACTGGTGGCTATACCCCATGAGACTCTAGAGAGAGGCCAGCCTCAGCTTCTTCACCTTCTCACGGTCCTGCTGTGGGCTGAGGAAGCGCTTGCTCAGGAATGCTGCCCCTCCCTCCTGATAACCTTGATCCTCCATTCCAGAATCCTCCTCGCACATGCCTTCCATTACAGTGGTGAAGGTGGTGGTGAAGGTGAAGGAATGCAGAAACCCAGGTTCTAGTCCCCGCTTAGCCATGGAAACTCAATTGTCCTCCCTCCCCCCTTGGCCCATCCTACCTCACAGGTTTGTTTTCGTGGGGAAAATTGGAGGAGGGAGAGTTGTGTATGCTGCATTGAGCCCCTGCAAGAAAGCTGAGGGCTTTCTTGTTTCTCTGTTTCTAAGACACAGGCAAATGAATAACCAATGCTCTCAACTTCCATTAAAAACAACTCTTGTTACGCATTCCAGAAAAGACTGAAAGTCTGATTCTGTACTAGGCACCCTTAAACCCTTAGATCAGGAGGGGCAGCATCTGGTCCTGAAGATACCCAGCTGCAACTCCTATTATCCAGCACCGTTTTCCATGCTGGGAATGGCTAATAGGAATTGACGTCTAACACTATGGGTTCAACCAAGGGGAGGTAGATTCAGGTTTAATGTTAGGGGGGATTGTCTGTTGCTGAGAGCTGTCAGCTGGTGGAATAGGCCGTCTCATGAAGTGGGGTCTTCCCCTTCTTCAGAGGTCTTCAAACCGAGGTTGGATAGCATCTGTTTGAAATGCTTCAGCAGATCCTGTGCCGAGCGGGGGTTGGAGTACATGACCTCTGGGGTCTCTTCCAACTCAGTGAATGTCTGGAGGCCCATAGGTCAGCAAACAAAATAAAAACACTGGCTGCAAACATACTGGCAACAACCTAAGAAAAGAGAACAGCAGAATTAAAAGTTAAAATGTGGGAGGGATCATTTTTAGAAAGTGCTAGGGAAAAGGAGCATGGAATATGTGTCCCTTATTCTCCTCTTATGATTTTTTTTCCCCTTTCCTCCTTTGCCTCATAAGCAACTGTTAAGAATTTGGTGGTAGGGAGGCAGATGCATGCGGGCAATAATTAAAACTCTGCTGTCATATGAGATGTTCTGGGATCCCTCCCTGCATTCCTGTCTCCTTCCATATCCAACTCTAGACTTCTCCTATTATAAGCAGTCTTGTATTTTAAGCACCAGCCTGGAAGACAGGCCACTCAGAAATAATGATGATGATACTCCAGACTTAACAATTGTTGATAAGAAATACAAAAAAGTCCAGATAGTGGACATTGCAATACCTGGAGACAGCAGAAGAGAAGAAAAAGAATTGGAGAAAATCACAAAATATAAAGACCTG